TATGGTTCTTGTCCAGAAGTACTGGTCTGCTCGACCATGGGTTCTGACAATATAGGAGTTTCCACAGGATGTGTTACCACATTATCCTCTGGATTTGGTATTTCTACCTCTCCTTCCACGCCTTCTTCGAAGCGTTCATTTTCTCCTTGTCGTCTTCTTCTAGCCATTTTTAATTAGGTCCCACTGGGCGTGCCAAAAATATATGTTGGCTTTTTGGCTTTTCGAAGGGTATTTTTGTGAATGTGAGCGTGCCAGCAAGGATCAATCAGTCCTTACAGAAATTATAATTGCCAACCAATTATCAGACGATTGTGTTTTAGTTCTTTTCAGCCTCAATGAAGAGGACTTTTACTGGTGGCTTGACTTAGGAGACGTTAAGAGAAATAACAGTAATATGAAGAACAATTGAAGTATTTCATAAAAATGAACACTTACAATGGTTCGAACTCAGCCTCGGAGAGGTTTACAACAGCAATCTACTTGAATCTACTTGAAGCTACTCCTATGAATCGAAGTGCAGTGCGAGTATTTAAAGTGCAGGTATTTAAAGAACAGGTATTTAAGGACTGGAAATGTAAATGACTGGAAAGAAAATATATGAAGTAAATGACTGGTTTGTATGGTCTGAGTCCGTCCCTCTTTCTGGGGGTTACCCTGCTATTTATACTCGTCAGTGATGACCTTCGAACTGCACTTCGAACTGTCGAACTGCTCCTCCATGATCGCTGGTCATGCTTCCTTACAAGTAGCTCCATTACGCCATTACTGGCAGTTGAGCTTCCCTCTTGTACTTAGATTTGAATATGAGTAACCGTTTGAAGACACGTCATCTTGCATCCCGTTATTTGATCTAGTGTTACTCGGATCATGTGAGGACCAATGTTTATTGTCACGTGTACGATCAGGATTAAAGGCCTGAATAACCTTCCTTTATTACCCTTACTATGCCACGTGTCGAACTGTAACTGGCTTTTACAAAATATGTAGCCAACAGTTAGACTTTAGTTTTTCATTTTACCACATATCAAAATATATGAAAAAATATTTTTCAGAAAATATTTTTCGCCCAAACAAACAGAGTGTTAATATATGCAACGACATTGGATGACCATAATGTTTTGCAAACCACAAATAATAATAATTGATTATTTAAGGGTAAATTATACTTACCTCTCCTCCTGAGGTTTTTCATTTTTTATTAATATGGGATTTTAAATTTTGATTTATTTTTGTCAGTAGATCCCAATTGGGCAAGTCTTGGTATAGTGATAAGATTGTTCCATTCCAATTTGCAACTTGAACGTCACGAGTTCAATTTATGAGGATAGGTCTATCAAGATGATCCAAAATACGTAGCCACAATTTACTCAGTTGCAAGTTTATATTGCCTTATATCATCATATTTTTTTTTTTTTTAAATATTTACTCACAAGTCTTAATTTATAAACTTATATTCCATTAAGTCCTAACTAAAAATTTGTATACATTCAAATCTCATTAAATTTTTAATAATCGAAATTGCATTTCAAATAATAATTATTCATCATTTATGCTTATCTATAAAGGAACATGATAATTTGACATTTATTTTATTTTTCAAAACTTTAAAATATCAACTTTCAAATTGAAAAAATAAATAAATAAAAAAAAAACTAATCAGTGTGTTTGGTTAGTTTTCTTGAAATTGAGTACTTTTTCGTGTTTTTTTTTTGTTTTTAGTAAATATTTTTAAAATTTTAAGCAATTTTTTTTTAGATGCAACTTACTTAGATGTATCTAAATAGTAAAATATTTGTGAAAAAATATTTTAATAAATTAATAAATACACAAAAATATGAAAAATGTACTAAATTTTCTTTTTTTTTTTATTTTTGGTATTTAGTGAATTTTGTAAAGATTTTTTTCACCATATTATAATTTTTAAGTGTATTTATGTTAGGTGTGTCTAAAAATTAAAAAAAAATGCTTCAAATAGTAAAAAAAATTAGTGAAAACAAAAAATGACGGAAAACAAAAATTAAAATTTTCTCAAAAGTGAAGTCTGAAAAATGAAACCAAACAAAATTTTTTTTTTTTTTTTGGGTGCAAAAATGAAAATTTTGTGTCTATAAGAAGCATCATGATGGAACATTGATGTGTAAAATTGAAAAAAAATAAAAATTTAACTTTAAAAATGAAAAAAACTGATAATGTTCTCGATTTTATTGGATAGTTAAATCAAATCAATAAGTAGAAGGACAAAAACACTTAATCTTATACTCTGTTTTTTTCATCAACTAATGAAACAATTATCAGAAATATTTCTATGCAAATTTAATAATATTCTTAGTTTTAAAAATTGAAAAAAAAAATGATAACATTCTCAATTTTATTAAATATGATTTATTAGTTTAAAAAATCTTAAATAAGATCTGAACTAATGTAACACTTATAAATAGAACTTTTAAGTAATTAACTCATTTTTATTTTTCTTCATACATCAATGTGAAATATTAGTCTATCCACACAAGAAAGACAAAAACCTTTTAAAAATTCACTAAATACCAAAAATACAAAAAAAATACGAGAATTCAGTACATTTTTTGTATTTTTATGTATTTATTAAATTTTAAAATATTTTTTCACAATTTTTTTACTTTTTAGATACATTTAAGTAAGGTACATCTAAAAAAGTAAAAAAATATTTAAAAATTTAAAAATATTCACTAAAAACAAAAAAACACGAAAACAAAAAAATTGAGTTTTCAAAAAACTTAATTCAAAAAACTCAAACTAAACACATAATGTTCTCGATTTTATTGGATAGTTAAATCAAATCAATAAGTAGAAGGACAAAAACACTTAATCTTATACTCTGTTTTTTTCATCAACTAATGAAACAATTATCAGAAATATTTCTATGCAAATTTAATAATATTCTTAGTTTTAAAAATTGAAAAAAAAATGATAACATTCTCAATTTTATTAAATATGATTTATTAGTTTAAAAAATCTTAAATAAGATCTGAACTAATGTAACACTTATAAATAGAACTTTTAAGTAATTAACTCATTTTTATTTTTCTTCATACATCAATGTGAAATATTAGTCAATCCACACAAGAAAGACAACATGGCCAACTTGCTAATAATGATGTACAATATTTTGTGGGGGATTTAGCGAAAAATGCTTTTTCATAAACTTATAATTCAATTAGTCGATAAGATATGTTTATATTTTAATAAGTCCTATATATTTGGATTTATGTTCCGCTAGATTCTAATCCTCATATTTGAGCTATTTTATGGATATTTTTATCCATGTGGCTATTTTCTACCAAGCTTTCAAACAAGTTGAATGAGATTTTAGATTCGAATTTATAAAGATATTTTAATTCGTGTCTTAATCTTACTAGTAAGGGTAAATTACACTTTACATCCTTATACTTTGCACAAAATCTCATTTTGATACCTACACATGAAATTGTGACAATAAATCTCATGCGTTTTTAGTTAAAGTTATGCTAAGTATCCCAAATGAATTACCAAATTTTCTATCAAACCTCTCACATGAGTGTGAGACCTACATAAAGGGTCCCACACCAATGTGAGAGATTTGGTAGAAAATTTAATAATTCATTTGAGGTCCATAACATTTTCTTTTTAGTTAAGTGTCAATACTCCTCTTACTCCTCTTTTGTTACTTCACCGGATAAGTTTTAATGGAAGTCAGTAATATGACAAGCATATGATTACGAAAGAATGGCAAAGGAGGAAAATCACTCCCATTTTAAGTCTACATACATTTTGTCCCTAAACTTTACATCAAATTATGACTATATTCAGCTAAAACAAAACGCATATTGTGAACTATTAAGGAGATGAATTAAAGTTTTGCAGAAAGTGGAATCACAAAACTTTGTTTCTATAGTAACATAGTCTTCTGTCAATTCCTCCTCCTTTCGCTTCGATTTCTCTATTGCATTTTTTGATTTCAAAAGCTCTATTTTCAGGATATGAGATAGAGCTTTTGAAACTCTCACATATATTTATCACACAAAACAAAGTGTGTATTGGTGAGAAATGAGAATGATTTTTCTTTCTTATCCTCATTTTGTAGTCACGAGCTTGTCACGTAACTAAATTATGTTAAAAAATAGAGTAACAAAAGGGAGATATTGACACTTGATGAGAAATGTAGAGGGTTGACTGTCACAATTTCATGTGTAGCGAACAAATTATAGAATTGATACAAAGTGTAATTTACCCAACTACTAACATATAAATCGCTGTGAAAAAGAAAAATGTCAAAACTAAAACCTAAATTTCTTGACAAATCAATTGCTAAAATAAAATTATTTTTAAATCGCGAAATCGTTGGCCACGATACTTAGAATTCGCCCAAAAGCACAAGTCACAAATTTTATGGCATCTGGTCTCAAATGATGATATACTAAGTGATTATTCAGTACTCTCGGAGTATGGACACGTTGTGCTCCATAAGATTTTGATTAGTGGAGAGGCGTAAGAGCCCACAATTTATGTTGAGGATGGAGAAACAACATGAGGCTAAATAATTGATAATTGGTTTGGAGTATGACCACGTGGTGCTCTGGGGCTCAATCCAGTAGAAGTTTAGAATCAGACAAAAATGCTTAGACTATACAAATTGAAGAACCAAGGTTTTCCAGATCCTTGTCACTCCGTTGAATATTGAGATACATCACTCCGTTTGTTTTCAATAGGAAAATATTTTGCAACAAAACTGCAAACATTAAGTTGTACTACAAATTTAAACAAGAGTACAGAGACCAAAAGCCAAATTCATATTGAAAAACATAAACACAACAAAGAATTAAGTTGTACAGCAAATTTAATCAACAGAGCGATAGAGACCAAAAGCCAAATTCTTGTTGGAAAACATAAACATGTTCGTTTTTTTACTAATAATGACTCGGATTAAGCAAGATTTCCCGAAGAAGAGAACACCTTCAACTGATTGATGCAGCAAATCAATTCAGCTACTTCTCCACAATTAGTTTTGCCCTTGCATGGCCTTCACGAATTTGAAACTGATCCCCCAAGCCAAAATGAGCCATCAACAACCAAACCAAAGTAATGAGCTGCCCACCTTTACTCAGTTCCGCTACATGGCTAGTGGGTGTGCAACGGCACGCAGCGTAGCACAACATTTCAACCCAAACTTTGCTAATTATCACCCATTTCCTTTCCTCTCCTAATTTGTCCAGCTCTTTTGCCAGAATGCAAGCATCAAACAACACAGATTTGCTTCTATTTCCCCTAACAGCAACAGGTTTAACTACTGTATCAACATCAAGGATACTTCTGCAGGCTTGTTTGTGCACTTCATCCCATCCTGTTTTCTCTTTGCAACAGCATTTCTTGAAGCGAAGTATATCCATACATGATTTGCAGCTGCAGAAATATTTTTCAACAGCGAAGATATTATTCAGACTGAACTTCTTCTCCATCTCGGCCTTTCCGGTTTTTCTTCTACAAAAAAATCTCTTGGCATCGGCACAGGTATCTCTGAATCTTATCTTCCCAATACCTGCCACGGAAGACATCATTGTGGGCTGCATAATCAGAATATATAACATGTAATCTGACAAAAGCTTAGACAAAAGACAAACATCCCTATCATCAGCATTGCTATCCTTAGTATTAGCAGCTGTGCTTGCTCTACGAGTGTGAAAGCAGAGATCAGTAGCAATGTGCCACAATAGAAGGCTCGCATCGAAGTTGACCTCATTGATCCAAGGGAGTAACTCGGTGCAACGTTCAATTTGAAGAACCCAATCACCTCTAGCCACAGATATCTCTTTCGCAGTTTCTAAATCATCAGCCATCTGAGATTTCATTTTCATCTCCTTGAAGATAAGGTCCCTTAAGCCATCAGTGAATTTCATCGTTTCCACATAATCCAACCCGTCTAGCATATTAGTAAGGCCGAAACAGCCAATCAATTTTTCCAACCATTCTGAACGTGTATTCAGACAATAATGTATCAAGTTGTATTGACAGAGAGATTCAGACCACCTGCGGTGCTTGATTTGCTTACACCACCCAAACGAACGGGTCCAATGCTGGGTAGAGCTAGAGTCTTGATCAGGCCACCTTTCCCTATTAACATTGAGGGATTTCCTGAGGATTCTAACAATAAAGGATGGATTGTCGGATTCAGTGAGGGCCACAGAAGTCCAATCAGATAAAAGGAACATGCCCAAAGCTATTATATCATGGGCAATGGTAGCAAGGAGCAAGATGTAGGTGATTCCAACATCAACCTTATGAAATCCACGCTTGTCAATCTTACAGAAAAGCCCAAGGGCTACCAAATTTAATAGGAATGAAACCAACCGAAGAAAATATCCAAATTTACTTTGCAGCACCTGGGCCTTGGTGTAGAGAATTTCATAGAAGAAATTGAGTTCTACCTCTACCACTTTAAAAGCTTCTCTTGCTGTTCTGTTGAGGAAGAAGGTTCGGCTCTGGTCTCGCTCACGGAAGCTGAATATGAGATCAACGATTAGTCCTTTGAAAGTCTGAAAAAAGCGGTAAGCATGTTGCACCACCTCCAAATCTGTCAAAGGAGTCAGTTTGTCTTGATCATGGGTAGCTTTGGGAATTCTTTTGGGTTCTTGAATAATTTCTATTTGGGTTGGAAGGTTTGCTTCTTTCTTTGAAAAGTATACATCTATGAGCTTGGCGTAATTTGGCCCCGGATCTGGTTTTGTGAGCAATGACTGTCGGAATCCATGAAAGCTAGCAAGATAGAGAGAACGGACCCGCACAGTATACTTTAACAACCCCGCGACAATGATGATTGAATTTGGGAGCAAAAGCTTGGTTTTGTAAAGTTTGGTGATAGAAATAGAAGCAGGAAAGCTCCACTGGGTTACCAGCTGATTGACGTACCTGCGCCACAGCTCATTGTCCTCGAGCGCAAAAGCAGTGATGGTATCGGGACAGCCAAGGTGTATCAAAAGAAAGGAAGCCCAAAATGCTACAAGTTCCGGATTAGCAGAGGAAGGACCACCGGAGGAGGAGGAGTCGCTTACTCTATTGGAGATGACGAGTCTACTGGCATAACTGACAATACTGTCTACGAGCGTGTATGCCAACCATATGGCCATGACTACATAAGGCGTAGACACTCGCTTTCTCAAAGGCGCAGAAAAGAATAGAAAGGTTTGCAAGAAGAGACTAACAAAAAAGACTACCCGGAGATCCCGTGCGTCCAACAGCTGCCTCCAACTGTGAATTGCTTTACTCAATATTTCAGTCTTCATCTGCCTATAATTAACTTCTTTCCTACTGATCTATCTCACGTTGTTGATGGTAGAGAAAATTACTACTGACTAAAAGCACAATTTGTACGTGGTAAGAACCATGGGGACACGCAAGGCTATGTTGACTGATCGTAAGTCTATTTCAAAAAATTTAAGATGCACACTTTGCATTAAAATATATCCACTGCAATATTAAGAATGGGCACTAGCTTCTAGGTTCTTTTCGGTGGGTTGTTGTCGAGTGATTATTGAATACTTCTGATATACAATCACGTGATAATTTAAGATATTGTGATTGATAAAAAAAATAAGACTTATAATTTTACATTGGATAATTAAGGAATATGAGAGATCATGATATATGATAATTACTGAAAGAGTATGAATATATGAATAAGTAACGCTTCAAAAATATTAAATAGTTTTTCGGTTGTTATGACAGTATGAAAGATAACATTTTACAAAGAGGCCAAGAAAGAGAGAAAGAATAGGTCATCCATGACGGCAATGTTTGGGGGGGGTTTGATGGGTTCACGGAAAGTTTTTTTAGTTTCTGAGCCATGAGACACCGCGTCCGGATCCTCTAGAGTGATCCGGTGAAGTGATCCTCTAGAGTGATCCTTCGTAGAGCGACACGTGTCCCATTAACGGAATCAAAGGCTGAGATGATGCTAGACAAAACGACGTCGTTTTGGTACCAAAAAAAAAAAAAATCTGAATTTGCAGATTTGCAGATCGAGAGAGAGGATGAGAAAGAAGAACGTGGATTTGAGGAAGAAGAAAGTGGGTGTTGTAAGTAGAACCCAAGATTGCTTCATATATACCTGCTTTCTTCCATGTATGGTGGTGCAGAGGAAGCAAGCGATCCACCCACGTCTTCTATTTTTCAGGTGGGTATCGCCGATCCAGGAACTGGGTTTTCTTGAAATCAGAAATGGTGGGTTTGGAGGATAAAGAAAGAGAAGGAACAACTCTAATGGAATTTACTGTGGTTTTGAGAAAATGGACTATTCTGGAAGTTGGGATTCCACCAGTGGGTGAAACCATAAGCTCTTCTCTCTCCTCCTGGATGGTTTCGTTTTGTGAGGATCCGGACGCCTTTGTAATGGGTTTCCAACAATTTCATCCGTGGAAATCTATATATAACTGTGTTCTTTCTCTCATGCTGTCACTTCCCAAGAAACCTTGAAGACCCCATCAATGGCTTCTTCTTCCTCATCCCCTCCCTCGATCTGCAAATCTGCAAATTCAGATTTTTTTTTTTTTTTTTTGGTACCAAAACGACGTCGTTTTGTCAAGCATCATCTCAGCCTTTGATTCCGTTAATGGGACACGTGTCGCTCTACGAAGGATCACTCTAGAGGATCACTTCACCGGATCACTCTAGAGGATCCGGACGCTGAGACACCAAGTAATTTATCAAAAAAATAGAAAAATATTTTATACTTGTGAAAAACTTTTCATAATTTGATTAACTGAACCATTAGACACCAAGTAAAACTTTTCATTTGTCATATATTTAATTATATAAGACATAACCTCTTAACACATCATTATAAATAAATTTAAGAATTCAAATTCTAAATACATAATATTACTGTTAAAATAATTACCAAACACTAACGGGATCGCCAGGAGAAATTATTCGTTGCCCCTGGGGCACCACGTCAGAAGTGCCAGATGGTGCCCCAACCGAATAAATGCACGCCACATGTATAGTTTGTCAGTGGACTTGCCGCATAGACAAAGCACCACACAGACTTGTAGAGAGTCTTGGAGAATGGCAAACGGAGTTAACGTTAAATTCAAACAAATTAAAAATAGTAATTTTTTAAAATTTTAGTTTGCCCGTGTCAGATCTTATTTTAAATTTGAAAGTTGTGGGTAGGATTTGGTAGAGTTTTAGAATTATGATTTGAGTGTAGTGTTTTATTTTGAGTTTTTGAATTATTATTTGAAAAAAGAAAATTTGTTTGATTATGAGTTTTGAAAAAGATTTGAATTGAGTTTTAAATTTTTGAAATGAATTTTTAAATTAGAAAAGTTGTTTGATTCAATAACTTATAAATCACAACTAAACACACAACTCAAAATTCTATTCAAAACTCATAATTAAACTCTTTTAAAAAAAATCAAAAAAATAATTATTGATAAAAACAATTTTTTTATTTAAAATATTCTAAAAATTTTCGAAAATATTATTTATGTAAAATATAAAATATATATATATATATGTTTTTTTAAAAAAATCAAAAACAAATTCCCATTTTTCTATTTTTTCATTTTTTCAAATAGCAAATGCCAATTGCCCATCCAAAAAAAAAAAACAAACACAGTTTCAGACGTCCGAGGACATTCGGAAGGATGACCGGGTAAACCCAATTCGCTCTTTTCAAAATTCAAAATTCAAAAGACTCTCTGCTCTCCAAATATGATCTGAAATGAGTTTTGAAATGTAACATTAGAATCATTTTTTGAAAATTTAAACCAAACAAAGCATTGAAAAATATACTGGAATCATGTTTTCAAAGCTACTCCAAACACAGCCTTGATTTCACAACCAAATCACGGGAAAATTATTTAATACTCTCGAAACGCCACATGGCCATACTCCAAGCCAATCACCAATTATTTAGCCTCATATTATTCTCCCATTCCCAACATAAATTATGGGCCTTTACGCCTCTCCATCAATCAAAACCTTATAGAGTACCACGTGTCCATACTCCGAGAGTTCTGAATAATCATCCCAAATCACATATGTAAGTAAACATTTCTCTTTGTTCTCCACTCTCTCTCTCTCTCTCTCTCTCTCTCTCTCTCTCTCTCTCTCGCTTTCTCTCCATTCAATCTCTATCTCTCTCTTTACATTTCTTCACACTTGCATGACAACAAAAGCTACTGCCGGCTCCGTTGATCACTGGAACCATTCACCGCCGTTTGGTATAACAACTTTGCCCTCCCTCAGATCGTTCATTGATTTGAAAGTCATTGGCAAGATTTCACAAGAAAATTTTTTTAGACGACTTAGGTGTCTGAGCAAGATTACCCCAGCAAATTGAAATCAATCTTAAAGCTAAAGATGGTTGGAGAAATAGAAATCTATATTTTAGGTGTTTTTTTCTTATTTTTTATTTTGATTTGTAGGTGGTGTGCGTACCGAATACCGCACTAGATGATTGTGGATCGGAGCTCCGCACTTGATTGGACTATCCAAGAATTGGGACCCTGTAATAATAAGCATCGTTAGAGCTGCCTGGCCGAAGTTGGCCGAATAACCCCTCCGGTGTGGGAGTAAGTGATCGGAGAAGATGGAAGATACTCTCTAAGTAGAGAGTTGTGTTTGAGTGAGCCTGGTTCAGCTTAGATTTGTTACCTTTAATGTGAAGTGAGTGTAGTGTATATAGGACTCCTTACTTGTTGCCTAAGATGCTTTTATAGAGCTTCGGTGCTGTCAAGTTTCCTTTAGCATTGCTCAAGGTAGGAGACCATCTGGTAGTTGACAAAAGGTGTATATACTCATTGTATTCATACTAATAACAAACCGCATTCCCTTGATTAACCATTTCTGTAATTCTAGGTGTAGGAGACTAGCTGAGATGGCAACTTGCACATGCATGCATTCACAGCTTCCACGTTTCTCTGTTAGGTTCCTTTTGCTCGGTACCGTCGTGCCTCGGCTTGGCCCTCTATGAGATTGCTTACAAAGGTGGGCTGGCCCAGTAGGACATCTTTGTATGGGCTCGGCCCATTTTGGTTCGATCCAAGGATCAGGTCCTGTATCTCGGCCCAACCCAGCATCATGGCTGGACTAACCTTTCCACTACGGGTTGGGCCCAAGTGCTTGAGGACTTGGGTGGATTGTTGATGATGTAATTGGGCTTAACTGGCTGGCCTATTTGTTTACCCAGCTCCTCTGGACTTGAGTCTAATGGATTGGGCTGGCCCAAGGCTTAGATCCAACCCATTTCATATCCAGTCCCTTCATTTGCCCCCTAGCTCGCTCTAAGGTTCCCCTTGGGGGGTGTTACTGCTCTGCTCTTCCAAGCGTCACGTCGCTTCGGATCTGCCCTAGTTCGGCCTTGGTGACGGTTCAATCCTAACACATGCCCCCTGTCTGCGTCTTCCCATGGTGACACGTGGCGGCTTGATACTAGTGCTCAGAGATAGTGCGCCGATTCCACACAGATGGGCATGATTATGTACCTTCGCGCGCGGTTGAGCGCAATAAATGCTCTGGGGGTGTCAATTCAAATCCCCTCATCTATCTCCATACTTTAGAGAGTCCAAAACCCTTGATATTCTTCTACCTTGGTTCCAACGGTGCTCTGCCCAAACGTTCCGTTGCCATTGTTGCTACCATTCTTGCTCACGTTTCAAGGCTGTCTATTTGTCGCTGCTATTTTAATCTCTGTAAGGTCTCCTGAAATTTATCTTTTCTTCTATTTTTTCGTCTTGATCGCCCTATTTGGCCCTTGCGTCATTGTTTCCGGCGTCTAGTTCTATTCATTGCTTAGTTCGAGTTTTGTCTTCGCCCTACTAGGTCTAAATAATGGGGAAATTTCGGTCGTTAGTGGATACCCCTGAGGAAATGGCCTCGTTTCGCCGAGACTATGGTATCCTCGATGATGTGATCCTTTCGCTGGAGAAGGTTGACGCCACGCACATAGGTATTAGAAGTACCATTGCTTTCCCAGTCGCAGCCATTGTTGAAGGAGGGGTCTGATTTCCCCTTGATCTCTTGGTGTGCCATTTCCGGCACCAAGTTCAGCTTACTTCTATGCAACTGTCTGTCAATCTGTTCCGAGTTATCTGTGGCGTCTCTACTCTTAACAAGAGGTTGGGTTGAACTTGGACATTTGGGACATTTTGGGTTGCTATACCCTTTCACACAACAAGGATCACAACACTTGTTATCTTTGTGTTTGCTCAGCCTATTGTCATCTTGTAACTGGCTTACCCGATTCGGACAAACACAATGACGATTTCCTGCAAGTAGG